GAGGACGCGGGCGCGTGCGAGCCCGCTTGAGGGACACGGGTGCGTGCGAGCCCGCTTGAGGGACACGGGTGCGTGTGAGAGGACGCGGGCGCGTGTGAGCCCACTCGAGGGACACGGGTGCGTGAGAGGACACGGGTGTGTGTGAGAGGACACGGGCGGGTGAGCCCGCTTGAGGGACACGGGTGCGTGTGAGAGGACATGGGCGCGTGTGAGCCCGCTTGAGGGACACGGGTGCGTGCGAGAGGGCGCGGGCGCGTGCAAGCCCACCTCGAGGGACGCGGGTGCCATCCCATTCGGCCCACCCCCCACCCCTGCAGCTGTGTGCACATGATCGCAGGGAGCAGGGGAGACAAAAAGGGAGCAGGGCACAGACTCTGGGCTGAGCAAGGCGAGGAGAAGTGCACATGCACACCCACCTCCCATTCCTGAAAGAGGCGGATCAGGTACTCGTAGTTACGCGCCCGCAAGGCCAGGTGGTCGATGAGCAGCAGCATGCACAGCGGGTCCTCGTCGGGCTCCAGGCTTCCGGAGGCGGCAGAGGGAGAGAGGGCAGTGTGGGCCGGTGTGGATGTCTGCAGGCTCGTGGCCGCGGAGACCACAGGAGTGGCAGCAGTGGGCACTTACCTCAGAATGAGCTTGCAGAACTCCAGCGCTGTGCGCGGGCAACCACGCTTCTCCAGGAAGCTCATCTGCTTGTAGAGGGCCAGGTAGAAGCTCCTAGATCCAAGACAGTTCCTGGTGAATCAGAGTGGCAGCGACCCCAGAGCCACACTGCCTGGAGGCCTCGTCCAGCACCGAGTCCACCCTCTGTGCGCTGGCACTTCTCGTGTGGCCTGAGCACCGTGACTGATGGCGAGTGTTCCTGTCTGCAGAGAAGGTGATGCTCTGCTTGTCGTCTGCAGTTACGTGGCTACCGGGTAGAGAAACAAGCTTCGCCGTTAGCTGAAACCGACTTGTTTTTGGTTTACTGTTTATCGTCTCAGGGGACAGAGTCAACCTCTCCACCGTCTCTACGTCTGAACGCACCCTGCAGTCTCAGGAGCTGCAGGCAGCACTGCTGCTGGATACGTCAGGTTGGCAGACTCCAACCATCCTGGTGGACTAGTGTTTTTATCGATGACCACCACCCTGCTGGTGCGTGCAGAGGTTAGTGTTTTATAACCTGTGTCTCCAAGAACGAAGAATTCAGTTGGAGAGACAAACTGAACACACGTGAAACCAGACAATCTGTGCGGTGGCGGGGGGGAAACCTGTGTGCCCTGGGATCCGGGCTGACTGCCAAGGCGCGGAAACACCCAAGGCTGGAGATGACCAAGGACGCTGGAGGCCATGAGAGGGTGAAGAGGGCACCAGGACAGAGGACACCCCCTCCCCGCCCTGCCCCAGGGTCCTGAAGGCCAGGCCGAGGGCAGGAATCCAGTGGGTGAGGCTGTTCAGGCCTCCGTCAGTGGGGGCTGGTGCCAGGGTGGGGCTCTGGGGCAGGAGATGCATCTGTGAGAAGAGAGTGTCACGCAGTCATGACCGCTCAATGCAGGGAACAGGATCAGGCTGAGTTCGAGCAGCTCAATGATTTAGGAAACGACATATAGGGCTGCCCACAAAGCATTCCAGAGCATTCTAAACTCACGAGGTGCAGATCCCTTTGTCCAAATATACGAGGAAACACAACTACAGCCCCGTTCCAGCGGCACCTACACGGGTACTCACATCCCGTCACAGCTCTGATGCACCTTGACACACCTGTCATCCAGGAAACCCACCTGTTCTCAGGTCTGCGGTAATCCAGCCGGCAGGTCCCGCTAGTGAGGCTGAATAAGGGGTGGAAGGCACACTCCATGCTGTACAGCGCTCTCTCTGAGGGCCACACAAACACAGGGGAGGGTGTCACGGCCAGCACAGTGTGGCAACTGCAACCCCATCGCCCATGGTTCACAAAGAAACCTCTCAAAGGAAGAAGGCAGCAGAGCAAGGACTCTGGAAAGTGCCATGACACAGATGTGACCTTGGGGATCACTGATGCCTCTCTCTGCATCTACTTTACCCATAAACACGACTTTCTAGACAGACAGATACAAGCACATGTCCTCACAAAACCCACATGCACATATCTGCAGCAGCTTAGTCACATGATCCAAGGAGTGGAAACAACCAAGTGTCTGCCAAGTGCTGGCAGATACACAAAACATGGTCCATCCCCACTACGGAGCATCATTTGACTGGAGAGGAGTGAACCCTGGAGACATTACAGTAAATGAAAGAAGCCAAGTCGGGGTGCCTGGGTGGCTCAGTCGTTAAGCATCTGCCCTCGGCTCAGGTCATGAGCCCAGGGTCCTGGGATCGAGCCCCGCGTCGGGCTCCCTGCTCAACGGGGGGGGGGGGGGGGGGGGGGGGGGGGTCTGCTTCTCCCTCTCTCTCTGCCCTACTCATGCTCTCTTTCTAATAAATAAGATCCTTAAAAAAAAAGCAACCAAGTAGACATATATCAGAGCATTTCACTCATAGGAAATGTCTGGAACAAGCAAATGCACAGAAACAGGAAGGAGCCTTGGGTGGGCCAGGGGCTGGGGTGGGGTGGGGAAGTGTCAGGTGATGGGCAGGAATTCTTTGGTAAGTTACATAAACGATCTAGATTTGGTGGTGACGAGGGTGTACAACTCTGGCATGAACTAAACCTCTACCTCTCTCTCGCTCTTCCTCTCTTAAAAAAAAAAAAAAAAAAGCCCTGGCAAACCCCCGTGTCCTGGCTGTCACCTTTTAAAACAGCACCTACGCTCCCCCCGAAGAGGTACTCCGAGGCACAGCAGGGCAGCGTACCCAGGGAGGCTCTTACCCACAAGGTCTCGGGCCATCTCCTGATCCTCCTGAAAGCGACAAGCATCGCTGAGCTGCAGAAGCGAGTCAACGTGGTATGGGCTGGTCTGGAGCAGAACCTATGAGCACAGAGGGAACGATGATAGGGCTAGAGGTCGTGCCTCCTGGACAGCAGGGAGCAAGGCACCAGCCCCAGACAGGGCTTTCAGGCACTGAAACGTTGGGAAAACGTCACAAAGTGTGACATCCACAAAACCCTCACCTCAAACCAAGCTCATCACTGCTGCTGAGTCACTGACCAGGCCTCTGGTGGGAGTAGGGACTCTGCCCCAGGACCTCCACCTTCACCCTCTGCCACTCCCCACAAGCAAGGGGCCCTGGGAAGATGAGGCGAGCCCCTAGAAGCACCTTGCCAGGGCCCTCAGCCCCCGTGATCCAGGCCCAGGGCAGCCTGGGTTACTGAGGAGAGGATGCAGGCTGGGCGAGGACCCTCCAGGGGGACACACGCACCACGATGTTGTTGGGCTCCATGGACTCCACGGCAGCCAGGAATTTGTGCTGTGTCTGCTGGTACTCCTCACTATGCTCGAACGCAAAGGAGGAGAGGCCCTTCTTGGACTCCAGCAGCCGCATGGACAGACCTGCGGAGAGTACAGCGTCAGGACCCTCGCGCTGTTCCTGGCGAGGAGTCTCTGTGCATACTCCATGGAGTCCCCATCAGAGGGTCTACTTTCCCAGGATGTCTGGGGCCGACTGCCCGTGGCGTGGTCCACACCAGCATCCTGTCTACGCTTTTCCCATGAAGAGGTTTCTTCTCCCATGGGTGTGGCCGGATCACCAATGTCCCAGGACAACAGGGACACGGGACAGGGGCAGGGCAGGGCCGTCACACGCTCCTTTCATGGTGACAGTGGGCGCCCCAGTCGGACCCCATGACCCAAGGGTTCTCAGACACGGGGCATTTGCTCCACACCCCAAGCCTTTCTGCACTGTTGCTGTTTTCCTTTAAGTTACATGGACTTACTAGTTGGCAACAAAATATAAACTATCCCACTTAGAAAATGAACTAGATTGCTTCCTATGATACAGGATCCACAGGAAAAAAGAAAAAGGTAGAAAAAAGCTTCATGAAAACCCATTTGAGAAAACATGCAGCTGGTGTGTGCAGGGAGAGGGGGTCCTTGGTCCCCCAGCACCAGGCCAGGGTGCCCTCACACACCCCACAGCCCCTCACCTGGTTTAGTGTACCGTGGCCAGGTGCTCTTCGGGGTCGTCAGCCATGTACACTTGGGGTACACACGCTGCCTCTGCCTCGGCCTGGGGAGAACAGACATGGTTACACCTTCTCCTTCACTGCCTAACCCCCACAGGCACCATGGAAGCAAAACCGTGGGGAAGGGAAGGGCGGGGGCGAGGGTGCACAGGCATGACCAGGACACGACGCAATCTGTGTCAGCAACGGAACAGGACCACCGCCAGATGAAACTGGAAACTGTCATCTAAACGACCAAACAACCAGAGAAAGAAAGAAAAACGGGAAATTTACAGTCCAGCAAAATGGGAGAAAAGAAAGGTAAAAAGGAAACAAAAATTGAAAACCAAAAATAAAGACCCGGAGGAGAGCAAGCCTGTAGGTGCCCCATGGAAGGAAGCGAGCCGCGTCCCCGTGCATCGGGCTGGACAACGCAATGCCGGCTGGGCACAGAGGGCAGAGGATGGCCTCTGTGCCTCTGTCCTGAGGTGGGTCCTCTCCTCCCCGCTCAAGATGCCACCAATGCAGCAACAGGTTTTGAAAAGGGAAAAACGATAACCATGAACAGAACTGGTGTAGCAGGACACTGACGTCAACACACTTCTGGTGGGAATGAGCAAGAAAGAGAGCACCAGGGGGCAGCAGGGGAGGGAGGTCCAGCTCCCGACACGCTGCACGTGGACTGCCCTCTCTCCTCAGCCACGTGCTCCACCTCCGTTATCCGGGGGTCTCTGCTGCAGGTGCCAGACCACCCCCTTGAAGCCGTGGCCGCAGAGAGGGGTTACTGCGCTATCACTAATGCTTTCTTTCTTAAGCTGAGTAATGGGCATGTGGGCATGTGGACATTCTGCTCTATACTTTCTTGATAATCTGAACCACTTCATTAAGAAAAAAAACTTGAATAAGAATCTGGCCTGTATTAGGAACAGTATAAAAGAGCATGTTTCTTCCCAACAAGAGGGCAAAACTGCAGGAGGAAACAACAAGGTACCTGAAAAGCATGGTCAAAATCTGAAGAAAATTTCTCATTAACTCTAAAATTTTGAGCTTCTAGCCCTGAAATCTTGGCCAGGTTAATTTTTGTTTCTCAATCAGCAGCAAAACCAACATGAGGTTTAGATTCTGGGATAACTCTGATCTCTGTTAATGTAACAGTTCTTAGTGGTTGATGAGCTGTGGTAGACGCAGTGAGAAATGCTCTGAGCAGGAGGGTCTGTTTGCAGGACTTTGTGTAGGAGGTGTGGGTGTTCAGCTTTCCGGATGCCCAGCACCTAGTCCACTTCTGACCGGGACCCTGGATGCTCAGAACTGCCTGGTCCCTGGAACCGCAGGGATAGCCCAGCCCCGCAGTGAGCTGTCCATACCGAACGTACACAATTTGGGCAGGTGGGCGGACACTAGCAGAGCAGTGGCAGGCTGGCCATGCCCGACGTGTCTGTCACTGGAGGCTGTCAGAGAAAGAGCCGTGCACATGCCCTCTGCAGATTCTGAAGTGGCCACCAGAGAAGACAACCAGAAACACATCGAGTCTGTCTTTGGGCAGAATAAGGAATGAGGGAGACAAGAGAACCAGAGCTTCTCAAGGAAGCCTTTGGTGGGACTTAGGATATTAAATCGGTATTCTAGAAGCACACTGCTACTACAAAGACAATAAATGTAAATCACCGCGAACTATGATTTGCCGAAACAAGACTAGGCAGAAGTGTGAAGAAACGGCAAAGATGAACCAAGCAGAGGCAAACCAGTGGGGCTACGGTGGGGAGATACAACGTTCAGCCTAGGACAGTCCATGTGACAAAGAGGAACACCTTGAAGTGAAAATGTTTTTCTTCAATATTCCAAAAGAAGACAAAATCAGAAACCCTTGTGTCCTGAATAACTTAACACCCAAGATAAAACCAAAAACCATTAGCAAATAACAAGAAAAAGTGCTCCATGTACACATGAGACAGAATCTAAAACTCCTAACTCTACCATAGGTCAGAGAAGGAAGAAACACTCAGAGAGCAGGTGACCTAAGGTACGTGGAGCTAATGCAACATGGGAATAGCCACCGCTGGGTAATTTCACTAGAAATGGCCACACAGATGCAGGGAGACTGCAGCCAACACAGAAGCCGACACTTGTCCCCTGGGGCAAGTGCATTCCCCTCGTACACCAGGGTGAGGAAAATGGTGCCTAGAACCCAGACATGCAGAACCAGGTGGTGTGGCACTCCCGCAGAGTTCTGTGGTCCTGGGGGACAAGATGTGTGTGCATAGGGGGCCCAGATGGGTGCAGGAAGCTCTCCTGAATTGTTACCTTGGAGGGGGGTGCCAAAGGAGACAATTCTAATTCCAAACTGCTTCATTTTTTTTTTTTTGGAAAGATTTTATTTGAGAAAAGCAGAGAGAGAGAATACGAGAGCATGTGCCTGCAGGGGGGAGGGGCAGAGGGAGAGGGAGGGACAAGCAGACTCCCCGCTGAGTGCAAAGCCCAAGATCATGACCCGAGCTGAAAATAAGAATCAGATGTCCAAGCGACTGAGCCACCCAGGTGCCCCTTGCCTCAATTTTTTTATAACAAGCATTTAATTCTACATTTAGAAAAAAATATATACGTGAAAAGACAAAGCTTCTGCTGGTGTGGGCGCTCCCAGTCAGAAGTGGACTCGGTGCTGGGCATCCGGAAAGCTGAACACCCACACCTCCTACACAAAGTCCTGCAAACAGACCCTCATGCACAGAACATTTCCCACTGCATCTACCATAGCTCGTCAACCACTAAGAACTGTTACATCAACAAAGATCACACTTACCTCAGAATCCAAACCCTATGTTGGTTTTGCTGCTGATTGAGAAACAAAAATTAACCTGGCCAAGATTCCAGGGCTAGAAGCTCAAAATTTTAGGACCTCCAGAATCTTTGTAAAATTGTGACTCACGTGCTAGCTAAGGCAGTGGGAGGGATGGAGCCCAACTGTTACCGAAAAGGTCAAACATCAACTTCTCTCTGACCCTTCAGGTTCCTCAGAACCCGAAATCCTCAGGCTTTCCATTTGCAAGGTGCTTTACCTACCCCTTCCCCAAGGGTTTAGAGGCCTTGAGAATATTCCCTCCCTTTTCTGAGAACACAGCCAGTGTTGAGCTTACCTTTGTTCCCCCAGGACAGCTCGAGCACCAAAATACCTTTTCAGTTCTGTGTCTGGATTCAAGTGTCTAGAGAATTGAAAATTTTACGAAGAAAAACGAAATTGAGTTCTTCTACAACGATTCTGGGTTCTTTTTTTTTTTTTAAAGATTTTATTTGACAGAGCGTAAGCAGAGGTAGAGGGAGAAGCAGGCTCCCCACTGAGTAGGGAGCCCGATGTGGGACTCGATCCCAGGACCCTGAAATCACGACCTGAGCCGAAGGCAGACACTTAACCAACCGAGCCACCCAGGTGTCCCCGATTCTGGGAATTCTGAAAGGTCACGTAAAACCCAGCAGGGAGAACAGCTATTCTAACATGAAAGACAACTGGCAGGCCTGCATTCTTCAAAACCATGCTGACCGGAAACAGAGGCGGCCAGTACTGGGGCCGAGCCCGAGCAGCCTCAGATCTACAGACTAGATCAAAGTGGGCTCACTGACTCAGTAGTAAAGATGGCTTTTTGAACACAGGCAACAATCTCTTTAGTAGGGTCAGGGTTTCATTAGGCATCTACTAGAACAAGAGAGGAATAATTTATCACAGAACGACATCTTACTTCAACACCGTTCAAGAAAAAACATTCCCAGATTTATAAAGTTAAGGATGGATCCTTGGAAACAGAAGTTTTCCCCTTTCCTTCTTTCTCATTGCTCCTACTGCCTAAATGTTTGGCAATAAACCTACATCGCTTTTAAATACAGGAAGTTTTCTTCTTTTTTAAATGTTATTTTTCCTTTTCAGGGAGTCTCTGTCTCAGCAGGAGGGAGAGGAGTTGTACCTGTGTTCCACATACAGGACGTGCTTCTTGGAGCTCAGGGGAGGCGGCCCGGGGCGGTTGAAACCACTGCTGTCCTCAATCCTCTCCAAGATGCGATCGATATCTTCCAGCCCATGTTCCTAAAAACAACAGAACACTGACTTTATTTTAAACATCGTAACAATCAATAACAAAATGATTTTTATTTTATTTTATTATTATTTTTTTAAAGATTTATTTATTTATTTGAGAGAGCGAGGAAGTACATGAGAGGGGGGAGGGTTAGAGGGAGAAGCAGGCTCCTCGCCGAGCAGGGAGCCCGATGCGGGACTCGATCCAGGGACTCCAGGATCATGACCTGAGCCGAAGGCAGTCGCTCAACCAACTGAGCCACCCAGGCACCCACAAAATGATTTTTATAAGGAACCAGCATTATATTGTGTTTACTTTCTGGAAAACAGTATAATCCAAATACTATCTACAGCACATATATTTAGAAAAAAGGAGAGATGCTTCATTAGAGGAAGCTCAGAATTGGCAGGATCACAGAACCAGAAGGACCCTTGAAATAACTCAGTCACAAACCTGATTGCTCGTCCTACAGGTGTTCCCACCTCTTCAGGTAGGACTTGAGACAAAAAAAAGCTACGACCTCTTCAGGAGACACAGAATCAGACGGTGAAGAATGAATGAAACAGATGTTCTCACAATAGACCGCTCCTGGAGGATTACACCTCACCATCCTATCAGTCCATCAGCACTAGAAAAAGGTCAGGGCACGGGGGCAACAGACTAGAAGGAACTCTGCCAGCCAGAGAACGTCACTTGAGATGGTGGCCAGGAAATGAAAAGCACAGAATGAGGTCTAACCCTCAAGGAACAAAGTGAACTAACATAAGCAAAATTTGGTTAGTGACTTTCACTGACCTCTGAATTATATTCCTAACAGGAAGGAATCAAAACATCAAATAAAAATGAATTGCTTCTAACACCACCTTGAGAAACAGCGAGATGCACATACCAAAATTTCTCCTGTAGAGTTTTTCTTATTTTTCTGTTTCTTTTTCTTCTTTCGGAGTTTGCCACTTATGTTAGACTAACAAAAGAAGCACATTTTAGTCAATGGAAACAAACAATAAAATCTTAATATCTGAGAATTAAAGCAGCAAGCTGCAGAGGGATATGGAAACACAGGCTTGGCATCCCCTCCCTCCCACCCCGAATGTCCTGTGAACTACTTCTCCAACACATACCTCCCACTGACCTGCAACTCTGGGCCTACGTCCAACTTTCTCCCCTATTCCTTCTTGAGAGGACTCAGGGTTTCCCAGGACCTCAAGAGGTTCACAGGGTCTGAACCATACATCCACCTGCCCTCTTCTTTCGTCTTTCACTTTGCCAACCACCCTCCCTGCCACACTTAGCTACCCTGGACACCTGGGCCCCTGCACTGCACGCCCCCTCCCCCCGCACACACACACGCCCTTGGTGCCTCTGCCGGAATACCTCTGGTGCCTTCAACTGGCCACCTCCTTCCCTGCAGTGTAGAGCCCCCCGCCACCCAAGCTCGGGCAGGTGTCCCACTCTACGCCATGAGTCAGGTCTCTCCAGCTGCACTTGTCCATCCGTTTCTGTCCCCCTTTCAACTAGAGGTCCCCGGAAGGCAGAGTCGTCCCCAGAACCCAGCAAGCTCGCAGTAAGCACTTGCTGCGTAAACAAGCAAAAGATCTCCTTAGAGACCCTCCCCTGTGCCATGTACAACAGCCACACCCCAACGCTAACGTGATCTACGCATTTCCTCAAGGCATGGCCACCCAGGGCCCTGTCCACCTGACCAGAGCTCCAGACACACAGTCACAGAGAACACACATGTTGCAAGTAGAAACAGACTCTCCCAAAGTGTGAAGGCGAGTCTGGTGCCAGGGAAACTCGTCTAGGGGACCCTGTATGTGCCCCCCTTGATGCCCACAACTAGTCTTGAGGATTTCATGCAAATCTTATCAGGGGCCCCAAGGAAATGGTGGGGCAGCTGCAACTGCAGAAAATGACAGCACAGAGTGTGTGTGGCTGGTCCCCATACCTGCTCTGGGGGCGCTGCCTTGTCAGCCACTTCTCCAGCTTTCTTGCTTTCTGCACCTCCACTCTGGGACCTCCTTTTGTTCCCTGACACCACAGCGTCTGTGAGCAGACAATCGGGTCTCTCCCCATTCAGCACAGGTCCCTCCTCAAGGTCTTCAATGTTTATCTGGAAAAACAGATGGGAGAGAACAAGGGTGTTCCAGGCAACCCGGTCACGGAGTAAATGGTGATACTGAGCTGTGTCAGAGTGGAGAGCAGGGCAGAGCTGGGGCGAGGAGACATATTCAGGGTCACTCGGAGGTCGCAGTGGGAAGAAACACCTACATCCATGTGCCTGGCAGAGCCGTAGTGCTCACCTTCTCAACAAGCTCTGGTTCAGGGTCATTTTCGTCAACAAACCCCCGAGAATGCTGGGGCCCGGGGTGGCTCCATGTGTCTCTGTCTTCAGAGCTGACATAATGAAGAATCCCCAAACATTACAACCTATCTCCCTTACTGAACACCACCCTAGGGCACAGATTTGTAAATACATTTGTTCAGCCAATGCATTAATGTTCTTTCTTCCTACTGGGAGTTCTAGCTCAACTCATCTACAGTAGCTGACAGGACAAGGAGCTAGGGGAAGAAAAGGTACCTAAGGACTGACTTAGCTAGAAACTCTTCCCTGATAATAAAAGTAGCTCACCCAACAGAACCTTACATAGCAGTGAAAAGGAACGAACTGTGCACGTGCACGCGCAAGCGAGCACACTCACACTCTGGAGGCCAAACGGGGGCAGGGTGGGTACAAGTCATTGGAGAAGTTCTGGCCCTTCAGCAAGTCAACGAATAAACAAAAGAGGTCAACACTAATAACTACTGGACTAAATAATGACCACGTTTCATCAACCAGATGGGATGGACCCCATCTAGTGCACTGAGGTCCAAAAATAACTAAAACAGTCTTCAATTTAGGACATCTGACAATTTAGGACATTAAACAAAATAAAAAGAAGATCTACTTTAACCCCCACAACCCTGAGATAACTTTTATTTTTTTAAAACTGAGATCAAGGGGTGCCTAGGTGGTTCAGTCGGTTAAGCGTCTGCCTTTGGCTCAGGTCACAATCCCAGGGTCCTGGGATTAAGTCCCACGTTGGGATCCCTGCTCAGTGGGGAAGTCTTCTCCCTCTCCACTCTCCCGGCTCCTGATCTCTCTCTCTCTCTCTGACAAATAAATAAATAAATAAATCTTAAAAACACACACACACACAAAACTGATACCATACTGTACCTGGTCAGTTTTCATTGATTCTTTCTGGATCTACTGTCTCAGTTGGGAAAGTATCAAAGAAGAGAAAGCAGGAACAAGTTTTTGTATCCTTTGGTTTTGCCTGCTTTCTTTACCAATGGAGATTTCCATGTGGCAAGGATAGAATTTAGGAGTATATCATGCTTATCTGTCTATAAATCCATACCTGACTTGAAAATGCTAGAACTCTACCAAAATAGCGTCTGTCCCAACATCACCCAATACTATGGCAATTCCTATTGTGGACACCGTCTTTTGAGTGGCAGCTTTGTAAAGCCAGGGGCCTGGGTGTGGTCTGGTGGGTTTAGATTTGGGAGTAAAGAAAGAAAACTGGAATGAGGCCTCCTGGGACATTTCCTATAAACAATGGGGATCCAGGGGGGAATTGGCACCCATACTTCAGCATTCAAACAAATGGGACCTCCAATGCTCCTAGTGAAGCTGGGTGCCAATTTACTCTTTTGTTTTTCCTTAAGATTTATTTATTTGAAGGGCGCCTGGGTGGCTCAGTTGGTTAAGCATCTGCCTTCAGCTCAGGTTGTGGTTATTTCTTAATAACATTATCTTTTCTCCAGCTTACTATAAGAATACAGTATTTAATACGTATAATGTAGCTTCTAAGTCACCAATAAGGCTTCCAGCAAATAGTAAGCTTTTAGCAGTTAAGTTTTGGGGGAATCAAAGTTATAGGCAGATTTTCAACTGCATGGGGTTTAGGGCCCCTAGCCCCAGTGTTGTTCAAAGGCTAAATGTAATTCTTCGTGAAATATTGATCTTCCTCACTTAAAGGGAACATTTCTCAATGCTATCAAGTCTGATCGTCTTTAAAAGTCTATTTGTGTGATTTTTAGCAGACTGTCGAAGTCGTCCTTGACCCCCAAAACACTGAGTCCTATCTACATCATCCCCAACCACTGCACGGTATGTTATGCTGCAAACCTTGAACTACACATTTGAAACGGGCGAATTTATCAAATATATATTACGCTTCAATAAAGTTGGTTTTTAAAACCTACTCTGAAGTAGAAAAACGATTTCTAATCTAAAGCCAAAAAAAAAAAACCTCACCCAAGAGCCAGTCATGAGGACAAATTTATACACTAACAAAGGACAGTGTCTCTCTGCTCTGCTTTCCTCTGCTCAGAGAACACTGCTGGCCCCTAGAAATGCCTCTAAGTAAACCACTTAGGGTCACGTTTCTACTTAAGTTCTACTGCACCCTTCACTTGGTTTCCAGTGTCATTTAATATCTGCATTGGCAGCGTGTTCACTATATGCCTAGCTTGGGCTAAAGGCTGCACATGTTAATTCATATATCACGCATGACAACCCCATTAAGTAAAATAAGATCATCCCTAAGAAACAGAGAAACTGAAGTTTGTGTTAGATATCTTGCCTACATTCTCACAGCTTTGAAGAGGTGGAGCCAGGATTCAAACCTAGGTCCTTCTGACTCCGAAGCCTGTACGCATACATTCTGGCTGGAGACAATACCTGCTGGTCCTCTTAGAGGAAATGCTGACTCATGCAGTAACTTTTCTGCATACCTGGGTGCTAGACACAGGGTGGTGAGGACACGTTGGGAACGGCACAGTCTGTTCCCACAAAGCTTATACTTCAGCAGGGAAACAAAGAAACAACAAATTTAAAAAAAACAACAGGTAATTTGTATGGTATGCTCTGTGTTAATAGCCAGGGCAAAATGAGAAAGAAGAGACATAGGAGTGTGGACGTAACTGTACCTTTTTTTTTTTTTTTTTTTTTAAGATTCTGAGAGAGAGAGAGAGAGTGTGCGCGCAGAGGGAGAAGGAGAAACAGGCTTCCCGCAAAGCAGGGAACCCAATGCAGAATTCTATCCCAGCACCCTGGGATCATGACCTGAGCCGAAGGCAGACCCTTAACGACTAAGCCACCCAGGCACCCCTAAGATTTATTTATTTTAGAGAGAGTGAGTGCAGGGGAGGGGCAGAGAGAGAGAGAAAATCCTCAAGCTGACTCCCTGCAGAGCGCAGAGTCCAAGGATGCGGGGCTTGATCTCACAACCCTGAGATCAGGACCTGAGCTGAAATCACAAGTTGGATGCTTAACCAACCCAGCCACCCAGGCGCCCTGGGGTAAGTGTACTTTTAAAAGCAGGTAGGAAGGGTAGGCAAGACTGAGAAAGTGACATCTGAGCAAAACCTGAGGAAGGAGTGAGTCATTATGACACCTGAATAAAAGGCGTTAAAGGCAGAAGAGACAGCAAAGGGGACAGATTGTGGCTAGAGCACAGCAAACAAGATTATAAAGAAATGAGGTAGGAGAGCTCATGGGGCGACCTGGGCCAGCCTGGAGCCATTGGGGGGTTGCGAAGAAAGGAGGGCTGAGGTCAGACACGAGCCTAACAGGATCACTGTGGCTTCTGTGATCAGAAAGACTGCAAAGGAACAAGAGTAGAAGCAGGACTGGGTAGAAGGATGGTGATGATCCAGGCCATAGGCAATGGTCACCCCCCCAGGTGCTGCACCTGGAGCTGCCATAGGACTTCCCAATGGTCTGAGTGTATGGTGAGAGAGAGATCAGAACGCCTTCACGTTGCTGGTGTGGACAAGAGGAAAAATGGAGATGCCCTCCACAGAGACAGGGAAGGCTGGAGGAGGCAGAAAGGGCAGTTAAACACTGGGTTTGAGATGTCTGTGAAAGGTGTAAAAGGAGACAGATGTTCAGCTGGATCCATGAATCCCAAGACTGGGAAGGACATTGGAGCTGGTGACAGCAACATCGGAAAGCAAAAGGGGGTGGGGGGCCTGGGTGGCTCAGTCGTTAAGTGCCTGCCTTCGGCTCAGGTCATGATCCCAGGGTCCTGGATCAAGGCCCGCGTTGGGCTCCCTGCTCGGCGGGAAGCCTGCTTCTCCCTCTCCCACTCCCCCTGCTTATGTTCCCTCTCTCGCTGTGTCTCTTTCAAATAAATAAATAAAATCTTAAAAAAAAAAAAATGAAAGAAAGCGGAAGGGGGAAACACAGACAGAGTCCTGAGCAGGTACAGCCCGAGTCCCTCTGACGTGATCTCACAGGGAGGTCCACATCAGTATTCTTCCTCTCCCTTCACACGTAAGCACCTGCCACTTTTTCCATTTCTCCCAAACATTCTGCCCCCCCCCATCCATTTACCCTCCTTTCTTCTTCAGCAGAAACATTAACTTGCTTCAGAGACAATTACCATGACGTGGTTGAGAATACAAGTTTTAAGTCAGAAAGCCTAGATTTACTCTGCAGGTGTCACTTACTACCTCATTTGCACAAGGGGGACAATATGACCTCCTTTCCAGACTACGAGAATCCCATGACACAGCAGCAGTGCCTGGAATGTGTAAATGTCCTCCAAAGAAAAGCTACTGGTGTTAAAGACTAAATCTGGGGAATATGGGAAAGAGAAAGCACAAGCTGCTCAAACGTCCATGGAGATGGCCGACTACAGCACAAAGTGGTTTCAGCCTATGAACAAGTGAGATGGGAAAGAAGACTTCAGTGTTTTGAAAGAAGTCAGAAAAATGGCAAATTTAAGGACACGTGATGTGACAGAAAAGTGGGAGACAAACTGCTGTGAGTCCAACTGTGGGAGCTGGAAGATGAGCACAGGGAAGTTAATACTACTCTTGTTTTTGTACATGTTTGAAACTCTTTATAATAAATTTGAAAGAAATGACAAGAAACAGGGCAGAGGGGAGGGAGTTACTTCTGGTCTCAGAATCAGAACAGGTGGAAGGAGACTATGGAGAATCTCAAGAAAGGACTTGGTCCCACCTCCACCACAGACTACAGCTGAGGCTCTCTCGCCTTCAGAGGGAAGGTCAACTACCCAACTCCCAGAAGGGAAGCCCACATTCCCCACCATCTAATGATGGGCTCCTAACTTGCCAAGTTTACGTAAAGATGGGAGCCATTGCAAGACCAAGAAAGCGCTTACAAAAGGTCACTGGTTTCCCCATCATCTTCAGACCTACTGCTGTGTGTTCAACCACTCGGGCACACCGTGGAGGGGATCCAAGGTGAGCACAGCGGAC